CTCTCATTCGATGCCACGTCAGACAATCTGACGTGGCGTCGAATGAGAGGCGGACACGTCATCGACACACCCGCCCATTGAATTATCGCGAACAGTGTCTTTAAGAAAAATTCATGAATCAAAGCAGAAGGATACTAAAATTCTGTCCAAGGTAACTATCTCAGAAGAAGTGGATAGAAAACGATACCCTATAAGCGCTGTGCTAAGTTGGTCTCTCAAACAGATTTCCTATTTCAGGTCCTCCATCCAAAGGGCGATGTGCCACAGAAAATTTATTTTCTCCTTTCCGAGCTCATTTGAAGAAATCGTCGTCACTATCCGACGAAGTGGCGTCTTTGGCAGTGGAGTTTCCTGCGGTTAAGTATTGTGATAGCATACTCGAGCTACTTTGTCGTACTACGGGTTGAGCCAGTGACCTAAACTATCCAATTCGTTTTGGTGTTCAGTCGGGCAATCAACTGTGTGCACTCACGCTTGGGTGTCCACAATCCTAGGAGGTGGCTTTACTTGTAGGGAGATGTCATCGTCAGTATCGCTGCTATTGGTGTTACCAAAAATGCCCATCATCTTCTGATAAACGGAGGGCTGCCGAGAAGGAACTATTTGGGCGGGTGGTTCTGAAAAACCAATCTGAGTTTTCTACGAGGGAAAAGTGGCATTCAATGGTATAAGCAAGATAAAGGTTTCTCAATATGTTATGAACTATATACCTTCCTATTCTTGGTTATGCACGATTTCATAAAAAATAGTAATCTATAGTAAAGATGACGGACCTTTTGATACTGTACTGACTTGGCTCTGTTGCGGTACTTCGTTCGCGATCGTTACCACCCTCCTTTCTTGAATGTGCGCTTCCAGAGCTGCATGCGGTTTGTTGGAGTCATGAACCTCCTCTTGTTGTACATTCGGTATTTGAGACTTATCTATTTCAACAGCGTTTTCTACAGTCGCTGGCTGTTCGAATGTTGTAGAGGCGGCTGGTTTCGGTAGTTCTACCAAGGAAGAGAGGATGCGACCAGCTCGTATACCTAAGTATAAATGAAAATGATGAATCCCGACATGTTTGGCTATTGAGGAGAGAGAAGATGAATGGGTTGATGTTGACCGAATCGGTATGCGTTCTACATCGTTTGAAAGTGGAGTATTTTTCCAATGCCTACTCCGAACTTCCCCTTCAGCCAAACTTAAATAGAAACGGAACCCAGCGAGTAAATTTAAGGTGCAGGCGCTGTAGATGCACTTGCTCTAAGAACGAAAGGGTTACTGAAGGTTAATATTTCACCATCGATGTATTGGTCATGTTCCTCAGCCAGCTTCATGTTGGTGATCTGCTCAGACGTTGGTGTTGCCACGGGCTCAAATGTCGTCAACGCGATGTCGCTGAGGCGGCTGCGAATGGCCATGAGGGATGAATTGGTATCGTAGCGATCTGTGAAAAGTGGTTGGAGATAGCAAATGTTCAATTTAATAAGGGAGGGTTCGGCAGCAATGAAGAATGCTCACCTTCAATGTTTATTTTACTCCTCAGGTAATCCTCTGTGCTGAGATTGAGTCGAGTTTCTCTGATAGAACGCAGTTGCCCAGAAATCTCCGTTAGCCGTCGCCGAATCCTTTCCAAATCCGATGCCAACAGTGGTCCTCTAAAGGGAGGTTTGGTCATTTGGTCATGAGGCAACATGCAGCAAACTTCCCTATTTATTTTCAGAGTTACTTGAAATCACCTAGCTGGGATATCCTCGTAGAGAGGTCGCGGCTTCAGTTTCAGCACAAATCTTTGCCTTTGATCCCTCTCCTCATCCCAGTTGTACTCAGAAGTGAGCAACCGATTCACCAGTGTGTCCTCGTATGTCTGGAGATCAAAAGTATCACAAGAGTTGGAAGTTTCTCTGACGTTCCAAAATGTAGGCTTCAAACAATATACATTGCTTGCCTTGAACGATGTCGATGGTTGCCAACCAGGGTACTTCTCCTTCAGAAAGTTTACGTAGGAATCCTGAAAAATATATGTGATCCTCAAAAAAGCTGTAGCAAGTTGTGAGGAAAACAAACATTTTTTAGAGAGTAAATACACGCTTCAGACAAGAAACCAGTAGCCACGAGAAATAGTTGAAAAGTCTCAAAACTGGTTAGATTTCAAAAATGATAAGGCGCGTTTTTTTTTTTACTTTCACTGTAGCACGGTTTTAAATGGAGTCTTTTCAAAGTTCAATGAACGGTTGAGCTGACAATCAAGTTCTACAAGATTGAATTTGTAATCGCTGAGGCAATGTGTATGACCCTGAGCTAATGATTTGCCTTCTGACCCTGGCCACTCTGGCGTTTCGTAGTCTCCTCTCCATGGCTGCGATTCGGCCTTCCAACTCGCTGAGAGCATTCCTATCCTCAGGTGTCATCTGAAAAAAAACCTAAATAGAGATTAGGAATCTCCAATCTGCGCGGAACACACGTTTTTGCAGTTTTTGTTAGGCCGATTTAAAATAAGTTTCTCCCATGTTGGATTACCATTGAACTCAGCTCCTTGAGTTCTGCAAGATGGTAGTTGAATCTACATATGTAGAAGCATTGTTCCGAGAAAGCTCAATGTTGAGGCATAACATCGAGTTCGGAGGGTTCTTTCCTTCCTAAAAGTTAGCTGTGGAATTAATGATTGCACCCGGTTTACAGTCGCTTTACTGCAGGAACTGCAGGAAGCTTTACTGTGTCTGACAGGATTGTATTCCAGCGTTCCTTTGTTGAATAGCGTTGATTACCTACTCCTGGTGCATATCCTGATGATTTAGTCATTTACTCAAAATAAACTGCACGAATGCAATTTATACTGCTAGATTTTCCTCAACAAATGCTATGTAATAATACGCAGCAACCCCAGATGAAAATTCTGCTTTGCTTGTTCCTTTGTTATCCTTGGGGGTTACCGATTCATCTGGGTGCGAAATCAGAAACCATTTCTAACTTGCACCCCTTAAGGCCACGCTACACAGGGAACACTTACCTTAAATGAAGTCAGTCACAGCATCCCTGCAGGGAACTGANTGTAGTACAGTATGGCCCATCTATTCCAATTCTTTCTTCTCGGACTAGACTGAGGTTACTCCCCCAAAAGAGAGCGTATGCCTCCAGATTGAACAATTCCAAAATAAAGCTTCTTATAAAGGACAAAACAAGACAAGCGAATTTTACGTTTTCTGCAAAAATTCAAGATTCTTTGTCACCGGTATAGTAATTATTGCCACTCAACAATAATAATCATCCTGCCAAATGCTTTATTTATGCAAGAAAAGAAATCTCAAGAGATGGTAGAACATGTCAACAAATAAAACTGGCAACTTGTTATACTAACATTGTGATAGATGCTCCTCCCCTCCTCCCAATTACATTTTCACTGAAAACAGTAATAAGCTCTCAATACTCGAGAAAAATGTGCGCCACTGAAAAGGTAATCTTTGTCTAATAATCAAAAAGGAGGGTATGGCCTCGTAGCTGCGAAAAGGAGACGAGTTACTGGTAAAATTCAACGATGTCGGTGACGGCTGCGTATCCATGGTGATTGCACTCTGAGCAAGGACGCCCAAAGCTTACAATTTCCCTACTTGAAGCCTGAATGTTTGCTTGTTGGCGATTCTGGAGAACTGCAGAATATTCAAAGAGTGTCACCTTCGAGTTATGCTTATATGATTTCTACTCATTTATTCTTCATTTTCTCATTTATCTTTATCCTAGAGCCTCCAAGCTCTATGAGCCTAATCATTTGAGTTAATGCGGGAAGCTTTTTCTACAACAAAGATTTCTCAAAGTATCTCTTACCAAAGAAAAACTTCAGTAAAGGAATTTTCCTCGTATTAGACGTACAAAAATATTACTTCAGATTCGAGCACTGAGGTAAAAAAGAAGTGGCAGGGTCAATTCTTAGTACATAGTTGACTTTTTATAATGTAGATTAGAGAAGGTGTCGCACCTTAGTGACAGCTTGATATGAATTCAAATGGGGGAAAGGTTGTACATAGTTCAAGAGGGAAATTACCAGAACAGGGGAGGCCCTCTCGACGAAATTTGTCCCTGAACACATTTCCTTTTGCTGGTCATTGTAGGTCTCTGTATATTTGTCGCACCAATGCCTCCTTCAACTAATTCGTTCGAGTTCGAACTTTCAGTGCTTTACAGTTTTTTGTTCCCTCTCCACAAACCACGTGCCAAGTTCAAACTCCCACGAATGCACTATTCTCCCACTGAGCTCAACGAGTCGATTTCCAACGAAAATCTTTTGCGCTGGACCGGCTGTACAGCTTACCATATACCAGAAAGTAGGGAAAACGATATGACCTGAAGCTATTCTCAGAAGAGGGAACTGCTAAACACCATGATGGGAAGGAATACCATCAGTTGTAATATGAGAGATAGTGAAAACCATCAGACCGAAGCCAAAATTACTTTGAAAAAAATTATTCTGCAAAAACAGAAAATCCGACTCCAGTATGGATCTCATGCCCTCAGCTCAATCAGGAACTACTTCTCAGAGAAATGGCTGGAGCCTTAGGAACCAACGTCGGGATTATCTCGGTATCCTGACGACTTCTTATTCCCAACGGTGATCATCACTGTATCGGGTGTGCAAGAGGCAGCGACAGATTGCTGTAGGCTCGTGTTCGATTATTTGACCCGAACCTCCACAAACTCCGTCTCCAAGGGTTCCTTTCAGAAGAGCATTTATTTCCATTCACAAATGAGTCGTCAAGCAAACTCGTTTGCTACCTAAGAATCTCGATCGGGTGCAGATGACTAGAAGTTTCCTCTCGAGGGGAAACGCGATTTCACTTCCAGTCAACGGTCGGGTGGTGCTGTTGGGAGTTGCCTGGGCGATTGATCGATCGGAGCATGGCATCGACGGCAAGAGAGTGGCTAAAACGAGGAGGCATCAGAGAGGCGAGCGGCTGCGATGGGCGCAGCAAGCCAATCGATCGATAGAGTCGACAATTGCGAGTTGCCTTTCTTCTATCGCCACTCTCCTCGATTTTCCCTCCCGAATTCGCTCGTTCGATCAGTGAGTTGTGCAAATCTAGCCAGATCTTCCCACGTCGTCTTCAGCTGGCTACCAACCGTGGGTTAAGTCAAAGAGATGAGCAACAGCCTCAAGGTGAAGGTTGATGAACGACTCGACATTGCTCGCCTCGTTGAGCAGTACAAGACGATGCTGTTCAATCCCGATTTGTCAGGTAGGACCGATCTTCAGACAGATTGTACTTCAGGACCCTAAGCAATTTCTTGGGATTTGCTGAATTTGGACTTGTGGGTAAAGGGGAAATTTCATTGACTGTCAATCATACCAATGTTAGAAAACAGAAGTGGCAAACGACTGCCTCGACACTGGCATCTTATGATCTCGAAGATGACAATGTCGAGGAAGTCGTCCGGGATCGATTCAAATAATCTGTTTTTTTTTGAGATTGGCAGCATTTCAGCTTTATTGTGTAGTTTTGAGATCTTCGAAGTGAACCAAACCCATTCACGGGTGTTCAGCCCGTGTTGTAGGTTAGCCCATACCTTAACGAAGTAACCCATCATACTAGATTGTTCTTATCACGTCATCATTTCTGGATTTCTCTGGTTACCTTTGTTTTACCATTTTTTAACCCATTATCTAAGCGCACTTAACAAGTGACCATACTCAGGTCTATTCCTTTTCCATCGACTCTCAACGCATTGAATCAAGCATTCCTGAGGACAAGTCCAAACTTCTTCTAACCAGACCCGATAGAAATGCTCTGTAACCTCAGTTCGGAAGCCGACAGCCCCATGTCGCTTGTACCTCCTTCCCCACAACTGGGGTTCTTATTACCGAGGTGCTTATTACCGAAAGAACTTTTAACGCCGACATTTCCTACAGTTGTAAGGACAACCCTTTCTGCCATTTTACAATTTAGCGTCAAATCCAATGCACGCCCTGCAACTCTCTTGACGAAATTTGTGAAGGGGCTATCCCTTCTTTTTCTCTGGATTATGTGTGTCATTGTTGAACCTTTCGAATGTCAAGCAACTCATTTGAAAGCTCCCGTAGCTCATTCATTTCGGTATTGATGGGTAACACATCAATATTTTGAGCGATAACCTGATCTTTACTCAAAAACGAAATTTCTGGGCGTAGATCGAGTTCTTACAGTAATCCGAATCGAAATACTAATCCAGCTGTGGGCCCCGACTCACAGAAGCGAAAATTCAGTACGGCACTCGGCTCTTACAGTAATCAAGCCCTTGCTAATATGTTCGCCCATCACATATACGACGAGTCGAAAAGGGGGTTACTGTAAGAGCCGAGTTCATTGTTAACACTACTTTGACAGGATAGTGCTTCAAAGTGGGCAGCCCACATATTCTGCAGTCATATGCTCCTACTCCATCAGTTGTAGGCGAAAGAAGTAGTCAGTAGGCCTCTATACTTCTTCTTCTTCTTTGACGTCTGACACACTTAAAAGCGGGGTCAGTGTTTCTGATGTGTTGACGTCGTTTTTCCCGGTTTAATGCTCGATCGGGATGAAGGCCAACTAGGTCGTCATGCAAAGTGTCAAGAAAGCGATGCTTCGGTCTTCCTTTTTCCGGGCACGTCGAGGTTGAGGCCGATTTACAGACTCTGCTGTTGGCCATAGTAGGACATGAGCTTACCAATGAAGACGTGCTTCGAGCAATTTATCAGCAATATGGGCGACTCCGAGATGCTTCTTCATTGCATCGTTGCGAGTACGTTCCTGACGCGTGGCTCCGGCTGCCCATCGCAGTATTTTCGTTTCCATTACCCCGAGTGGTCTATGAAGTTCTCTAGGGACAGGCAAGCACTCTGCAGCGTCAGTCACGACTGGTCGAATGACGGCCCAGCTCTATTTGAGGCGCTCTGGTGCTTTCTTGTCTTTTCCTATAAAAGATCAGTCATGGAGCACCAACTAGACTAAGCCGCCCACGGCACTGAGATCCCAAGTGAATTAACTATGGGACCAGAGTACCGTCAGACGCTCCAAGGTACTTGAAGATGAATGAATGCGGGACCTCAGTGCCGTCAATCTTAGCCTTGTTCATTTGACTCCATGGTAGTGTACTCTGTCTTATGACCTTCAACCGTCATTAAGTCCGAACAGTGGCAGACGGTTGAACGAAGCTGTACCTGTCGCTCATGTACTTTCTTTTTTTCTCAATCCAGCATTACATCGGCATAAAGGAGCGTCCGCGGAGCTAGGTTCTGGAGATATCCTGTGCTGGCATCTATGACGACAACATGTAGTGGTGGGGGCAGCGCGAAGCCTTGGTGTAGCCCGACGGAGATTGGAAATGGCGAAGAGGTACCCGCTGCTATTCGCCGTACTGTCGTAGGACATACAACTTCACGCGGAATGCAATGGAAAGCTCTCTC